GCTAGTAATTCTATGTGTAATATATCTTAAATGGCCACTTGGTAATCTAGCCTTTACCTTTGCTTTCTTATTTCCTAGCATTCTTTGCTGAAATCACCAGTAACCTCCTAATTTCCAAGTCCTGTTCAGTCTTCAACTATAACTTCATTCGCCGACCACTTCACTTATTTGTACTATTGTTAACATCCTGTTAACAATAAAAATGACCATATTTCAAGCAATGTGTTTCAGACTTTGTACTAGAGCACTGATTCTCAGTGGGAAGAGCAATTTTCCCCTTCCTCCAAGAGACATCTAATGGGTAGATGCCAGGGGTATTGCTAAATGTCCCACATGCACAACACAGCTCTCCACAGCAAAGAATAATCCAGCCAGGAGTGCCAAGCCTTTACATACATAATTTTATTTATTCTTCACAATAACCCTATGAAGTAGAGATGATTTATCCATGTTTTGTTGATGAAGAAACCAGTCTATCATAATGAATTACTTAGAGAGTGATTATTGAGTAATGAATTCTTCAGTTTCCCAGCTTCTTCCTAACTGCGATCAGTTTACTATCTGTTAGTGTATGTATCAAAGGGAGAAAGAAAAAAAATCTCAGCCCAGCTCTGTGTTATGTAAGCAATTCTGATTTTTAAAAATATCTAAGAAGGAAAAAGGTTTAAATAATTAGCTGAGAGATAGGAAGTGGGCAAGCATCTCATTCATTTCTGCTTTCGTCTCTCACCTCCACAACTCATCAGGAACTGCCTGGACAATCATGTCTTACCCACCTGCCAATGTAAAGAATCGAAAAATTCCAAGGCCTGAGAGAACACAGTGTCTCAACACAAAAAATAAATCAGAATTTCATGAAATTGTAATTTCAACATCAGGCTGAGAATCAATGTTCCAAGTTGAAGATCTCCCACCTTATAATTAACCATCGACATTCAGTTGTGCTATGCTTAAGCAGCTGTCAAACCTCTTGGCAGAGTTTAAAAGTCCAGCAAGGTAGTAAAAAATGTCCCAAGGCCTTCTCCATCCTTCTTACTTGACAATCTGAGATGGGGCCAAGACATCATTAACCAACTTCAACGCCCAGGAAGAATGATTCTGGTCACTGCTCCCCAAGGCCCTGTTGCAGATGGGAAAGTGTTCTGGGTTTGAGCCTTCCTTTGGAGGTAGAACTGTGGTGAACAATCAGAAGGCATTGTATTTTTCCAAAAGCTTTTGGCAGCAGCAATATTATCTACCGAATAGCGGCTACCCTTCTCTGAATAATGAGAAAATTATAATCATTATCAAGAATTATTATTATGTTTTAAAATATATTGACTGCAAATAATGTGCCAAGAGAAAGAATATTTTTTAAACAATTCTCTGAATTCATTCCAAGTCAGTCACCCCTTTCCAATCATTTGTTCATTTTAATGCTTCCACATTGCAGGTTGAAACATTTCCAAGTGAGGTACAAAATAATAGCCATGATAAGGCCAATTCCTTAGCTCAAGGAAAGCTGCAGAATCCAAAATTGAGCACAAATCCTGGCCTCCACGCCAGCCTCTACTTCTGTTAGGTCATGAAGCAAGAGTTCCCAGTGGTATGTATATACCATGTATAAACATTTAAAATAATTACCAAATATAAATGTTACAATGTGGAAGGCTAGTTTAGAATTTATGATTCCCAGGGCTGGGGAGATGGCTCAGTAGAATAAGCACTTCCCTGGCAAGTGCAAGGGCCTGAGTTCAATCCCCGGTTCTGCCAAAAAAAAAAAAAAAGAATGTATGATTCTAAGGTCCTTGGAATTCCATACAAAATGTGAGAGTGTAACCCTATCCTGCTCAGGGATTCTGTTTACTTTCTCCACCTCAATTGCACTGAAGTTATTTATCGGAGCTTAATAAGAGTGCCACATGGGTTCAGGGGTCCCACACACAGATGATACATTCTACTGTCAGAGTGAGAGATCCATAATGAGGCCTATGATCATTTGGAAACAAACACCAAGCAAGTAGAGAATTCTCAGATCTTTGCACCATCAGTGTGGCCTACATGGAAGTGTGAGGGCTTTTAGTGAACTTGTTCCTAGGAACTGTCAGTAGGGTATCACCAGAACAAGGTATCTTCATCCATTTGAGAGGCTATGACAAATACCACGGACAAAGCAGATTATAAACAACAGAAGTATATTTTTTATATTTCTGGATGCTGAAAAGTTCAAAGTTAGGGGGTCAGTGTGATAGTTCAATGGCTAAAGTGCCTGCTTAGGCAAGCTTAGGCAAATGTTGGGACCACAGTTTGATCCTCAGTACCACATGCCTTGCCAGCCGCACCTCCAGGGTGGGCTGAGCTGGCCACAGAGTCTATGCATAGTGGCGCATGCCTGCTATGCCAGTGCTGCAGAGGCTGAAAATAGGAGGATTACCATGAGTCTGAGCTACATAGTGAGAACCTGTAACAACCAAATATATATTTTTTAAAAGTCCAAAGTTAGGCTTCCAGCATAATCAGTGTCTAGTTCATAGATGGCTATCTTCTCACTATGTACTCATATGGCAGAGGAGGTTAGCTTCCTCTCTGGTCTTGTTTATAAGGGCACTAGTTCCAACGACCTTCACAAAAGCTCCACCTCCTAATATCATCATCCTGAGTGTTATGATTTCAAAAGATCCATTTTGGGGGGACATGAATCTTCAGCCCATGGCAGGGGACCAAAGCAGAGCCTACAAAAGTCCAGAGCCTGACACAGCAGTAAGTCTTGCTTGGGTTTCAGGGCCACACTGTAAGTCACAGGCCTCATATCTTCCCCAGCACATGACTTCAACACAGTGCTACCCTTGGCCCAAAGGCAATTTCTTCAACATTTTTGTGCCCCCACAGAATATGCAAATGTGGCTCTTTACTTAGGGCTAAAACCCAATGAACGTGTTATGGGTACAATTGATTAACTCTGGTACTTCTCTTACTCTAAACCCAAAATCTCCAGTTTGAGAGTTGGTTCTTTCCAATGGGATGATGACATGGTTATGGCTTTCAGATGCCAAAAGAAATACTAAACAACTGTACGCTGGTTCTACCACTAACAAGACATAGAACTAAGACATGTTACTTATTACTTTGGGTCTTAATTTCCCTGTTTGAAAAGCAAAGACATTTAGAGGTTAGAGGTCAAAAACTGGTCAATCACTGGTCTATAGAAAGCAATTTTGAACAAAGTGGAAGTGCTACCAGGTTTGGGGGTGTTGAGGTCTCCTTCTGGAGGTGGTTTCAAAGTTCTATCCTGAGCAAAGAATTGGTCAAGACAAGCAGAAATGATAACAAAGTTTTATTTATTTATTTACTTACTTACTTATTTTTTTGGTGGAACCAGGGATTGAACTCAGGCCCTTGTACTTGCCAGGCAAGTGCTTATTCTACTGAGCTATCTTCCCAGCCCTTTATTCTACTGAGCAAACTTCCCACAAAGTTTCATTAAAGGTATGAAAAGAAAAAGGCTCTGCAGAGTGAGTTTTGGCTAAGTAAAAGCAGAAAAAGAAGTACACCCTACTTCTTTGTGCATAATGAGGACAGTCTATCATGCAAGAGTAAACACAGTGGCAAAAGCTCAATGGTGACTCCCCCCCCCCTCCTTAGGAACTGGGGATTGAACTCAGGCCCTTGCACTTGCCAGAGAAGCGCTTATTCTACTGAGCCATCTCCCAGGCCCTGACTATTCTTTTTGTGTCATCTACTCCTCAAGTGAATGTCAGGTCTACACCATCCTATAGAAAACCTGCTCAATTTTCTCATGAGAAGTTCATGTGCAGGTTTTCAGAATCTCTCTGCACATGTGTCCTGAGATTTTTGTCACCCTTCCTTCTCTAGTCAGCTTTGCCACACCCTAATTTCCTGTCTCAGGGGAGAGAACTTTATAAGGCTTAAATGTTTTAGTTGGCAACAAAATTTTTGAAAATTAGAAAGGTTTGCTACATGTGGTAACACACAACTCTAATTTCAGGACTCTAGGGACTGGGGTAGGAGAATCTGAAGTCCGAGCCCAGACTGGGCAATTTAGGTGACTTAACAAGACTGTTATGGTTTGTGACTAAATGTCACCACAAAGCCGCAGGCAGTTTTAGAAGGGCAGGCTCTTCGGAGGCAGCTGAATCTAGAGTTTGTGATTGGTTCATTGCCTAGTGTTGGGATTGGATGTGTGAGTACTACACTCACCCTATGGAAGGTAACCCATACAATGTAAGGGAAGGATACAATGCTCCTCTCCTTTTGCTCTTACTGCTTTTGCGATCTTCGACCACCATGAACGATTGCCCCTCTGCCATGCTACCATGCAGCACCAGCTGATTATGGACTGACACCTCTACAAGCTGTGAGATAAATAAGTATTTCCTCCTTAACTTTGGATATTGGTTATTTTGTCACAGCCACAAGAGAAAAATAACTAAGAAACAAAATGTAACTAAGCATGGCTCTTTCAGCAGCCCTACACAACCTCTCAGACTTACCTCCTCCTGCTATGGCTGCCTCCCTCAGTTGCAGCACAGTGGCCTCCGTATGATCCTGTTCACATGCAGTCTTTCCTGTTGGCACCTGCTGCTCCTACCACTCTCCCACCGGATGTCTGCATGGCCTGCTTCCTTACTACCCTCAGGTCGTGACTCATTCGCCAGTGGTAGAATTACACTCAGTCAACCATTTACATATACACCAATCCTCATTCTCCTCCATGATCTATTTTTCTCCAGAATACATATCTATCACTGAGCATACTATAACTTTTCTTGCCTATTACCTGCCTTCTCCTCTGAATATATGAGGGGAAGAATTCTTATCTATCGTGTATTACTGTACCCCAAATTCTTACAACAGTGCCTGATATATAGGAAATGCTCAACAAATATTTGCTCACACAATAAATTTTGAAATGTATTTAAGCATCCAAACATCAGAGATTTTAATGTTCTGACATAGTTTTGTCTCCTCCCAGGAGCACTTTTGGGTCAGATTGTTCCCTCTGGACTATGGCGTCTCTGAGTCAACTGATTAGCCACATCAATTCCACCTGTGGGGCAGAGAACTCCACAGGTGCCAACCGGGCCCGCCCGTATGCCTACTACGCCTTGTCCTACTGTGTGCTCATCGTAGCCATCATCTTCGGGAATGGCCTTGTGTGTGTGGCTGTACTGAGGGAGCGGGCCCTGCAGACTACTACCAACTACCTAGTGGTGAGCCTGGCTGTGGCAGACTTGCTGGTCGCCACCTTGGTGATGCCCTGGGTGGTCTACCTTGAGGTAAGTGGGCTCCACGTGCACGTTGCCCTTGTAATTGTATTTGTCTGTCTTCCCTGAGACCCTGGGCTTTACAGCTCAACATACTTTGTAGTGGTCTAGGAACTGGGGAAGAAAGGAACATTCCTCGTATTCTCCCTTTAATGATAGATGATACTGTTGAAGGTAGTCCCCGTCCATCTCCATCAGAACCAGGAGTGTTAATCATTCCTGTTGCAATATGTCTAGAATCAAAATGACTGGCATTGACTCAGAACTTTTCTGAAAAGACTCTGGGCCAGTGCCATCTCAATTATGGAGGGAGTTCAGGAAGCAATCCTGTGTGTATCTTATTACTATTTCAGTTCAATATATGCAGGGTGAGGATGTGCAGGAGGGTCACAGGGAGAAGAAAAAACAAATTACTGAAAAGTAAAGCTAAATTTTAATGAATGAGAGAAAAGTTAGAAAGAGTAGTCTGCTAATAGCTTCTCTTGATGGTTAGGTTGTTCTCCATCTTAGTGTTTTCCTCCAGGTATTGGTTCTTCACAGTCTCTGCTACTGAGGGCATAAACAAAACTTTCAAATTTATATTTCTAATGCCTCTATTAATAGTACAAAGCCTTCACCACTCACATAATATAACAGACTCTGGAGAGTTGTTCTGGGGTGAAATATTTCTTAAATTTGAAAGTATTTTCATTTGAAAGTGCAAAATAGAGTCAGTAGGTGATCAAGACAAAACATCCATTCACTAACAAGAAAATCAGGGTGCCTCATCACTCCAAGAAACATACTCCTACCAAGAAAATACACAATTACTAAAAAGACTTTTGAAACACCTTAATATGCTATTAAGATTTCTCCTCTACACTGTGTGTCATCCTAAAGAGATATCCAATGAAGAATTAAAATGATTCTATGATTAAGAGAAATTAAGATTCATCAAATTAATATTTCAGTTAATATTAATAGTGAAGGTGACAGTTAATTAAGTATGACATATCATGGGAGAGCACAAGCCTTGAACATAGGCTGCCTATGCCAGTACTGGTATTAAACAATGATTGAGAACTAAAATTAGACTTATGATCTCATGGAGGGTGTACAAAGGAAAGAAATAAATACAAAAAAGAAAAGAGAAGAAAAAAGTAATTAGGTTAATTAGTGTAGATCTAAAGGCTAAGAGAATACTTAAGAAAAATATGTATTCTTCCCAGTAAGGATAATTCTGATATTGAAAGATTTTGTAATTGTCTTGACTTTCCATAAACCCAATTAGGTTGAGTCATCCTTGAGGTCAGCAGCTATATTTTTCTTCTCCTTTTCCTCTAGTCCAAACGCACTCCCTGATGTATAACATGTGCTAAATACTTGATATATGAATGACTAAATATACCTGCTCTGTAACGCCTGCATTGTATGGGCAATTCCTGCTGGCATCATCTTCATCTACTGTCATTGTTATAGGCAGACTTTCAGGGTAAAGAAAGATGAACTATTTATAATTTTATATCCAATGATAATAGGAAAGAGAAACATGTGGTTTCTTTTCAAGCATGAAACATTTTAGGTCGGACAGTCCATGGTGGGTTAGTCAGTAATTCATAGCTCCACTGCCACCACCATGTAGTCTTTCCTTCCACCCCTATGCACCACGAAAGTTCTTTAGTCCTCCAGAAGGATGTCAGAAATAAATTCAGGCAGAGGACATTCATCTAGTGAGTATTTCCCAAGATACTCCATCTGAATAAAACCCAGACTTTAGTGTCTGCATTAAAGTCTCTCAGAGGCACGCTTTGGCTATCCATTTGTGATTGTTTTTAGACTTTGGTTGGACCATATAAGAAAGCCTTCAAAGTGACTTGTTCAGAAGATGGACACTAAAAACTCATGCATCTTTTTCTAACCATACCTGCCAATATAGATGATATCCCCATTATACTTGTGAGCATAGAAGAACAACTTCATTTGTGGAAAGCCACACTGAATGTGGTTAAAGGCATTAGTGAAATCTATGTAGTAATGTCTATGTGTTTTCCCCTATGAGAAAAGTTCGGATGGAGATCTTAGTTCCCTTCAAAAAAAATCACTACCAGATTATTTGACAGTGGTATTCAGTAATGAAGAGCATAGTTCTCCCCTCCCCCACCAAAGAAACCCTTCTACGTTCAAATAAAGAAGACTTAGAGAGCATTGACATCTGTCCACTGAAAAATAAACTCTGGGGGGAGTCTCTGGTCTTATCAATTTGTCTCAAGGCCTTAGTCGATGCAATTCAATATCTCTGAATCATTTTCTCTAACAGTCAAAGAATCTGTCTTGATAAAAGATAGGGTACAACTTAAAACAGTCAGCATAATACATAATTAGTTAAGATATTGTTTCTAGTTCAGAGGAGTAGATCTTCTATCCAAACCAGTCTATTTTTCTTAGTCTTGAGTGTTTTACTGTCTTTCTTCAGGACATATGAGGTGCCTTAATGAAAACAAAAGAGCACTTAGTCTTTACAAGGATTATGAATATACAAGTCTACATGTCTCAGAGAAAGTCCAGATATTTATCCTTAGGGTAGTTGTTCTAGTAACTCCTTCTTTATACCTGAGGGGAAAGAACACAAATTGAACACAAAGACTGTGATCCAGTTGAGGCCCCCAAAGAAGACAGGACATGTAAGAAAAACAGCATTTGGGGGCCAAAATGTGCACCTAGTTCATAAACCCATGTACTTCGATTTGAATACATCCATATTCTCTGAAGGAAAAGTGCCAATTTTAGAAATGTTTAAACTATAAATATTGGAAAACCTCAATAGCTATGATTTAACCAAACAGGGGTTATTTTTCTCACATATGAGAATTCTAGACGTAAGTGATTTTTTGGTATGCTGGTGTTAATTCAGCTGTTCCATGGAAGAGTTGTAGAACACATTTTTCTATCCTTCCCCTTCTCCACTCTTGGAAAGCTAGTCTATCAAAGCCTGCAGCACCATGACACTATCCAAAAATAGTATGGAGGGGGATAAGAAAGAGAAAAAAAGTGATACAGAGAGAGATAGACAGACATGGAGACAAAGACACAGACAGAAACTGAATAGTGTCTTGGTTCAAAGCATTCTCTAAGTAAGGTTTTCACATAAGTTTAACTGGCCAAGCCTGAATCAGCAGAACAACTTTAACTATAAAATAGACAATAAATTGTCACACAACATTGCTGCTTTTGGAATTTACTTGGATAAAGGTCATTCCAACACAGGGTCACTTCATGGACTTAGTCCTGGGAGTCAAAAGACAAATAATTCAGTGAACATGATGGAGAAGACAGTAGCACTTTCTATGGTGGGCTGATGTTAGCCTCAGCTATTATCAACTGAGAGTACTTTGGTAACTAAAATATCTACAAGTCTATAAATATGTGTTTAGATTCTTTAAATTTTAAATAAAAGAAAACCTACTTCCAATTGGCTTAACCTTTTCATGACTTTCAATTTATGATGGTGTAAAAGCATTATGTATTCACTAGTCACTGTACTTCAATTTTATTTATTTATTTATTTATTTTTTGCATTTTAGGGAAGGGTCTACAGGGTGTTTAAGGTCTCACTATTAGATTGGACTTATACTGATTTGTCTGTTTACAGCCTCCCAAGTGCTGGGATTACAGGCATATGCCACCATGCCCAGTCTCAATTGCTGTCTCGGCATGCCCCGGGGTCGGGGCTGGCATGGCAGGCCCAGGGATCAAACCCCTGGCTCCTGTGCCTGCTTGCTATTGAGCTATTTGGCTGGTCTGTACTTTAAATTTTGAATTCTGATCTTTTCCTGGGCTAGCCATGCACAATATAATACTCCCATGTGATGTTTGGCAGCATCAACAAGCTATAGCTCCCAGCCAGCCAGTGAATACTAAGTGGAGACAACAGCTGGTCCACAGTGCCCTGGAGTGGTTAAGCCATGGTATTTGGTGGGTTGATTGTGTTAAATACATTTCAACATGCTATGGGCTTGGGGGACTTAATCCATCATAAACTGAGGAGTAACTGTACTAAACTCAGAGTACTTGGGCCCCACTATGAACATGTGAAAAGACATAATAAGTAGGAAATGTAGGCAAACAAAATATAACAAGATTCTATTCCCTGATTCATTCAGTAAAACACACCAAAGAAAAACAGATTAAGGTCAGATTAAAAAGATGGGAAAGAACAGCAACATTTTGGGGAAGGAGGAATCGTAGCTTGCAAGAATATAGATTATGTATTTACTTTTTATATTGATTATTTAAAAGAATTTTTTAAGGGAGGCTTTTATGATAGTTCAAAAAGCCCCTAGATGATAGCAATTGAGAAGTCCTCATTGGAAAACAAAAGCAAGAGATTCTCACAAAGTTTTCACTAATCTCTGGGTTTTGATAAATCACAGGCTGCAAAAACTGGAAGGCCTTAACAATTATTCTGCATCCTTTCTGAAATGTGACTGAAACAGAAGAAATTCCTGGTCATTTCCTGGAGACAGGTTTCTCTGGGGATGTGCTGTGGAGACTGCGTATTAAATGAGCTGCTCCATGATCTTATGAACCTAGGTTTTGAGCTGCTCTGAGGGAAACATTCATGGGGGAAGGGGTCTGTTGCGTCTTTAAAACACCAACTGTTGGGTCTACCTCAGACCTCCCAAACAAGAATTTCCACAGTAGGCTGGAAAGTTGCAGTTGCTGTAATAGGCCTCCACCCCAGTCCCACCCCAAGTGAGTGACGCACAGCTGGCTTGTCAGCTCCCCAACATTTGGGAGCCACTAACCTACAAAACTGCCATGGCAAGATGAGGAAAGTAGGATGCAATGAAGTGAACAATTCTTATTTATTAACTCTATCTTTTCCCACAGCAAGCCTTTCTCAAGACTACAAGTGTGACAGATAAAAATGAAGTGAAGAAGCTAATTAGAAAAGAAATTCCATCTTTGCCCTTGAATAGCTCCCTAAAACAACTAGAAATCCATTGCCTCAGACCAGCAGTTCTTAACCTGAG